CCCCGATTGGGGTCATGTGGGTGGCAACCAGTCGATGTGTCTCTCTCACATCGATGTTTCTCTCACTTTCTTCCTCCCTCTCTCTGTCCTGCTCTATCAGGAGGATAAATGCAAAAAAATGTCCTCGGGTGAGAATAAAAAATTAAAATTAAATCCATTTACAAATCTTTAAAAAAAAGGGTATAGTACAAATTACCTTGAACCTTGAAAAAAAAAAGAGATATTACACCTCACACTATGAACCACAACATATCATAAGATGTTGGCAGGTGACATGACCTTACAAAGAGAAAATTGTCACGATCACAATAAAAACCTCTGAAATTAATAAACAAATTTAGAATCCTGGCTAGGTGGCCCAGTCAATGAGAGTGTGGTCCAGATGCACCAAGACTGTAAGTTCAATCTCCCATCAGGGCACATTTGGGGGCAGCCAATGAATGCATAGAGTGGGCAGAACAGCAGATTAATGTTTCCCTCTCTATTTCTGTCTATTTGCCTCACTTCCCCTCTCTCTCTCAAGTCAATAAATAAAAATTTTAAATAAATAAATTCAGAAAAGTCACAAAATATATAATCAATCTACAAACATTAGTTACATTTCTATAACTAATAAATGAATTCCTGGATAGAAAAATGAATAAATAGTAAATTTACAATAGCATCAAAAACAATAAAATACTCAGGAATAAATTCAACCAAAAACGTGAACGGTCTATACACTGAGCACTATTAAGACAATGATAAAAGAAATGGAAACACAAACAAATGGAAAGACATCTTCTGATTTTGCACTTGAAAATTTAATACCATAAAATGTCTATACTACCCCCAAAGCAATCTACAGATTAAATGCAATCCTAATGAGCCCTGGCGGGTTTGGCTCAGCAGTTACCACTTGATCCTGGGACAGAAGATTCTCAGCTTTGATTCCTAGTCAAGGGTCCAAACTTTAGTTGCAGGGTGGATCCCTGGCCCAGGCCAGGGTGGGGGAATGCAGGAGGCAGCTAATCGATGTTTGTCTCTCACATAGATGTTTCCATCTCTCTCTCCCTCTCTCTTCCTCTAAAAACGTCAGTAAAAAATATATATATATATATATATTTTAAAAAGAAAGTAATATATGTTAACACTAGACTGCAGGCTAATAACAAGGCAACACCTGTGTCTAAAAAAAACTACGTAACTTTTTATTTCTTTTTATTTTATATTTTTCAGGCGGGGGGAGGGAGAGAAAGAGAGAAACATCAATGTGAGAGAGACACATCGACTGGTTGCCACTCACACGACCCCAACTGGGGCCCGGGACAAACTGGAAATGAGGTACGTGCCCTTAGCAGGAACCAAACCCGGGACTCCCTGGTCTGCGGGCCGACGCTCTAAACACTGAGCCAAAGTAGGCAAGCAAAACTACATAACTTAATTAAAAATACTTTACAGGTAAATACTGGTGTGGACGAAAGGGGACCACATTATAACCTGGCAAGTTCAGGGAAGGCCTGCGTAGTGGCTCTGCAAACTCAGAATACTAAAGGAGCCATAAAAGATGGTCTGATTAAAACTTTTTAATTAAAAGCAATTTATGGCCGGTAGTCATGGCCTCGCCTAGAATCTGTGCTCAGAAAAGTCAATCTTCCCCTTAACTAATCCTGTCTCTATTATCTTTTGCATCTATGATAACATTCCATTAGAATGTCAGGGAAACTTGCCATTTTCTGGACTCCTCAGGACACAGTCAATGCACCAGAACAGAGATTAGAAATATTCTCATTGTTATTTTTATGTTGTTAATTGCTGGCTGTTATCTATCCTGCACCCAACTATATAAAAAAAAGTGTCATTTTACTTTTCATCCAATCTCACAGGATTTTCCCCCTCTTTGCTTTCTCTAGCCTCCACAATCTATCACCAATGAAATTTTATGTAACCCACTTACTTCTTCTCTCTCTCTTTTTTAATACTCACGCGAGGACCTTTTTCCATTTATCTTCAGATAGAGCAGGAGGGAGAGAGTGGGGAAAATAGAGAAATATTGATGCAAGAGAGACACATCGACGGGTTGCCATCCACACCTCAAACGAGGTACATGCCCTTAGCAGGAACCGAACCCGGGACTCTCTGGTCCATGTGCCGACGCTCTAGCAGCCGAGCCAAACAGGTCAGGGCTACTTCTTCTCTTTTGATTGTAATGTATAAAGGAAGGTGCAAAACTGCCATTCTCCACAGCATTATCTCAATGCCTTGAGATTTTGCTTCCTGGAATTGTGGACAGTTTGGCTCAAATGCACGGAAACCCTTTACAGGTTTGAATGTTTCTTATGTTGGCACTGGTAAACAGCAACTGAGCCTACTGAAAAAATGGTGGTACAAGATTTCCTGAATGCAGGGATGCCAAAAACAACAGATTTTTTTTTTTAAAAAAAGAAACAAACAAAAAACACTCAATATTTGGGAAGCACAATTAAGCACGTTAAAAAAAAACATGTATCCGTATGTAATTAGAAATTAATATATAAAATATAGAAGGTATTCAAAAGATTCAATAGCCAGAATTTCTAGAAAAGAAACAAGCTAAGGCCCTAGCCGGATTGGCTCAGCGGTTAGAGCGACGACCTGTGGACCAGAGAATCCCAGGCCCATACCTCGGATTCAGTTGGTCCCCGCCCAGGTTGGGGTCTGGTGGGTGGTGACCAGCCAATCTCTCTCTCTCTCTCTCTCTGCTCCCTTTTCTCCGTCCCGCTCTATCTTAAGATAAATGAAAAAAATAAAATAAAAAAGTCCTTGGATAAGGATAAAAAATAAATAAAATAAAAAGAAACAAGCTAAGGATGTACAGAAAATATTTTTTAAATTATGTACAAATAAGAACAGGTACATAAAAATGCTTTCCCTAACTAATCTAGGTGTAATCTACTGGCTGCCTGCAATGGTACAAGCACAAATCCTTCTGTATGAGTTCCATACAGCAGGTAATGGGCCTGCAAGGAGCGAAGGAAGAGAAAAATGCAATGCAAGCAAACCAGCCCTATCAAGGACAGAAACTACCCAGAAAATTGGGGAGTCAAGCAGTGCCACAGTCCACGTGTGAGGACAGAGAACACCCTGGGAAAACGCCAAGTCAAGTCCAGGTCACTGGTGAGAGTGAGGGTCTTACCCATGGAAGATATAAGTTCAAAGTTTTCCAGCATCACATTCAGATACAAGCCTTTCTGACTCTCATCAAGGAGGCTCCATTCCTTCCTGGAGAAGTACAGGGCAATGTCCTCAAAGGTCACACCAACCTGTAAGATATGAAACAACTGAAACCAAAGCATTTTTTCGGAGAACCCACAATCCTACTCCTGACACGTCTTCCCCAGCTCAACCTCCTCCAGGGCTCCCCAGTTTAGTGAGAACAGGTGGTCCTCATGCTAGTGTTGGCTGCTCTCATCACAGTCCCATTATTCCGGTTACCGCCCTCAGCAACAGCAGCTGGGTAGGGTGGATGGGGGCGGGGGAGGCGGACAACATACAAATGCCACCTAAGCTCCGGGACATCCCTGCACAGCCCCGTCCTTCCTGCCCAGCAGGACCACTGCAGCCTCCCACATCACGCCTCCCAGACAAGCCAAACCTGGGCTCATGCTTCACCCTCACGTCCCCGCCCCAGGCCCCAGGACCCTCAGCTCACTCTCCCTCTGGCTGTGCACACCAGTGTCAGGTCTACCTCCTTCCCGTCTTCAGACCCCAGGCTCCCTTCCTGCTCCATCCCACGGGGAGCCGGACCCAGCACGACCCCCGTCCTCTGAGGGACCCCACAGCCCGGAGAGCCGGGATGAGGCTGTGCCGCCCGCCCTGCCTCTGATCCCTGCTCCAATACAGATCCGCACGGCAATTTCGGACACAAGGAGCCCGTCCCCTCCGCTCTGTGCCTGCCGTGTCCTCAGAAGACAACACTCCGTGCCCTCGGCCTTCCCCACGGCCCTCCACCCGGGACTCCGCTGCGGGACGTGACGGGCGCCCGCACCCGGGCTGTACGGCTCTGGGCCGGGAGGGCCTGGGACCCGCACTCACCTCAGCCGGGGGCCACAGCGCGGCCGCCGCCATCATACTCGGGGGCGAGGCCGTCCCGTCCAGGCCCTGGCGCGGGTCACCCGGGTGGCGTCGCCCAGTTTCACAGCCGCGTGTGTGCCGTGTGGGCCACGACGCTCGCGCCTTCTCGGTCAGGCCACTGTCCCACCACCCAGCGATCTGGACCCCTCCTCAAGATATTTGAGCGAATTCTGGGAGGAGACAAAATGCCGGCTATGACGGCGCCGGAAGTCCCGCCCCTGCGCGTTGCGCGTCAACGGAAACGCCTTTTCTGCCCCTTCATTGGCTAAGTTGATGGTCTTGCCACCACGGTCTTCTGGGTAATGCGGGTGGGCGAGGTGATCGAGATTTTCTCACGTCTTTCCCAGCGGAGAGACGAGATCCGCGCTGGTGAGGCTGGGAGATGGCGCGTCCTCAGGCAAGAGACAGCGTGAAAATGACCGCCTACTCTGTCCCTCCATGTTTCCTCTACACGTCTAAGATATTCTTGTTTTCATTACTGTGCGAGCACTCTGGGCCTTCTGATGTCACACTAGAAGCTTTGCTTCCCAAGAAGTGGGGAGTATATAGACAATGTGTTTTAGCTTTTTGTTATGTTTTCATCCTCACCCGAGGACATTTTTGCATTTATCTTCATATGGAGTGGGAGGGAGGGGAGGGGAGAGAGAGCAACAACATGAGAGAGACACATCGACTGGCTGCTACCCGCATGACCCCTCCGGGCCTGGGTCAAGCAACCTGAGGTATGTGGCCTTAGCTGGAACTGAACTGGGACTGCCTGGTCCTCGGGCTCATGCCCTATCCGCTGAGCCAAACCGGCCAAAAAATAAAACTGTTTTATTTAGTTTTTGAGTGAACCTTAATTCATTTCCAGGCTGGTTATCCAATCTGCAACCCACGTGTGTGCCCTAGGCTAGAATCAAATCCCTATCGCTTCTCGGCCTTTTGGCTAAGATCAAGTGCAGAATCAAATCCCAGACCCTTCTGTTTGCAGAAAGACCCTCTAAGTGCTGAGCCAAACTGGGCAGTGCTGAAATTAAAACATTTTATTTTATTTTATTTTTTTATCCTCACTCGAGGACATTTTTCCATTTTTTGTTCAGATAGAGTGGGAGGGAGAAAGAGAGAGAGAAACATCAACATGAAAGGGACACATCGAGTGGTTGCCACCCGCACGGGGACAAACTGCAACCGAGGTACATGCCCTTAGCGGATACTGAACCCAGGTCTCTCTGGATCGCAGGTCGACGCTCTAACCTCTGAGTCAAATAGGCCAGGGCAAATTAAAACATTTTAGTTAAATGCCATTTATGATAGGTAGTCACCACCTAGGGTAGAATCTTCCCTGACAAAAGTCAATCTTTAACTTAATTGAGTCAGTCTACTGCCTTGTTTTTTTGTTTTTCTTCTTTTAATCCTCACCCGAGGATATTTTTCTATTTGTCATCAGATACAGTGGGAGGGAGAGAGACACATCAAAGACAAAGAGCAACTGAGGTACGTGCCCTTGGCTGTAATCGAACACGAGACTCATTGGGTATGCAGGCATACACTACCACTGAAGCAAACCTGCCAGGGCCCAGTGTACAGTCTTTTGCATTTATGATAATATAGCTTTGGAATGTCAGGGTAACTCCCTTTTTACAGATCCTCAGGGCACAACCAATGCACAAGGGCAGAAACTAAAAATCCTCTCATTATTATTGTTTCACGTTAATTGTTGAATGCTAATTATCCTGTACCCACCTATGCAAAAGAAGTATGTGTCTACCATTTTCCTTTTTATCCAATCCCAGCGGTCTCCCTGCTTTGCTTTCTCCCACACCTCCCTGATCTGTCATCATTGGATTTCATGCAACCAATTTATGTCTCCTCTTTTTACTATAATGTATAAAATAAGGGGCAAAACTGCCATTCTCTGGAACAGTATCTCAGTGACTTGAGATTTTGCCTCCTGGACAGTTTGGTTAGAATAAACTCACAAAAATGCTTTACAGGTTTGAGTTTCTGATGTTGAAAATCCTCAGTGTCCTAGGTAAGTGCCATCACCACCTTCATCTCATATTCAGACGACTGAGAGGCAGGGAGCAGTACTGAGTTGGATGGAGATTCCTGGGTAAAGACCTGACACAGACCTCAGCACCCATAGCACCTGCCTTCAGGCAGGTGGGTCAGAGGCTTTTTAAAAGCCCCATTTCTTTCTCAATAGCCCTCCATAACAAAGGTGCTTGTGGGCATTGGGAAAGTGAGGTGTGGGCAGCCTGGAAATGTCTCCTCAGGCAGATGGGGGGTAGAGGGGGTGTTGCCAGAACCTAGGCAGGCTGATGGGCACCAGAACTCTCCATTTCCTCCAACAACTCAACCAGGGAGACTTACCGCATACTTATTTTACAGAGAAATCTGAGGCCCAGACCAGAGAAGATGGTCATTTCTTGTGAGTCTCAATAATATTCAGGAGTGTGAATTTCAAATCCAGGGTGCCTGACCCAGGGCGTGTGGCTTCTGATTTCTGCCCTAATATTCTCCACTGCACTCGGCTTTGGGACTCCAAAACCCTGACCTTCCGCGTGCCATATGATCCCTGTGAGGGTCATGTTCCAACCAATGAACCCCCATGATAGCAGGCCAGAAAAATAGAAGAACACTACAAAGCAAGAGCTTATTGTATTATTGAGAAGGCAACCCAGGTGCAGACAATTCCTTTAGGCAGTGCAGAGACCCTGCCCTGGCTTTTGTAATTCCCTTACATTCCCCAACCACTTAAACTACGCGGGAACTAGGAAACCCCCAAATACCCAGAAGCTTATCAAGTATAAAAGGCAGCTGGAACCAGGGCGAGGGGCTCAGCCTTTGGAGGTGACTCCACTGGGCCAGCACCTGTGTGAATTAAACAGTCATTTTCTAATCCTCCGAGTACACGCAGTCTGTCTCTTCCTGTCAACCAAATTTCTGCCACATTATCAAATGTCTAGACTTCTGAAAGTTGACCAAAGATGTTAATATTGGGGGTTAAAATGAAAAGTGTACATTACATTATACATAGCATAAACAAAGTGAAAAATATTAGAATATTCCAATAGAAAATGTTTATTCCATAAAGCAAAGTTATGCACAAAAATGAGTGAAATTCCAGCATGCATCTTCGCTCTTTCACTGTCCTGTAGTTAGAAAAAGTTATCAGAATTTATAGCAGATTAGGTAAAACATATGATCAGACATTTTAACAATGATACAGAGATAGCAAGCAAAGATTTGAGAAAAAAGGCTCAGCATAAATTCTTAGGGAAATACAACCAAACAACAGTGAGGTAGCATGACAAACTTATACAAAAATTTTAAATAAAGAGCAATTAACCAAACCAAATATTGTCTAGGATGTGGAGAATGTGAATCCCTCATGTACTGGTAGAAGAAATCAAAAAGGTACAAACAGCTTAGATCACAACTTTCTTATCTCTATAAATTAAACTTTCACCTACACTCCAACTCAGATATTGAATTAATGACTTATTGACAAAGGTAAATGAAACTTTTATCCGTATAAAAATTAATGTTTGTAAGAGTTTTTTTTAATTAAAAATTTAGCCCTGGCCGGTTTGGCTCAGCGGTTAGAGCATCCGCCTGCGGTCCGGAGAGACCTGGGTTCGGTTCCCGATAAGGGCATGTACCTCGTTTGTTGCAGTTTGTCCCCGGCCCTGGTTAGTCATGCGGGTGGCAGCCACTCGATGTGTCCCTTTCACATCGATGTTTCCCTCTCTCTCTCTCTCTCTCTCTCTCTTCCTCTCTCTCCCTCCCAGTCTATCTGTGCAAAAAATGGAAAAATGTCCTCGGGTGAGGATTAAAAAAAAAAAAAAAATCAAAAATTTAAAATAACCAAATATCCCTAAACAAAGGGATACTGATGGTCATGTATATTCAAAGATAAGAATATTTCTCAGCCAAAAACAAACTAATATATTTTAATAAATTTCGAAGTACTTATGCAATGTAAATAAAAGCAGAAAAAATGCTGTGATTCCCATCACAGAAATTTCAGAAAATGCAGTTATCTATTTTATTTTTTTTATCCTCACCCGAGGACATTTTTTTTTGCTTTTTGTTCAGATAGAGTGGGAAGGAGAGAGAGAGAAACATCGACGTGAAAGGGACACATCGAGTGGTCTACACCCGCACGACCCAACCAGGGCAGGGGACAAACTGCAACCGAGGTACATGCCCTTAGCGGGAACCGAACCCGGGTCTCTCTGGACCGTAGGCCAACACTCTAACCGCTGAGCCAAACCAGCCAGAGCATTATTACCCTCTTAAAAATGACCTACATTGATATTGGTTGCCACCCACACGACCCTACCAGGGCCGGGGACAAACTGCAACCAAGGTACGTGCCCTTAGCGGGAACCGAACCCGGCTCTCTCTGGACCGCAGGCCGACGCTCTAACCGCTGAGCCAAACCGGCCAGGGCTTTCTTATACAGATTGTATCCTAAAAAGTGTACTAGGTAGCTCTCCTTTAACTGGAATTGGAGTCAGGATCTCAGTTGTGGCCTCTGGGCTGGGCACTGTGGTGACGGCTTGTGTTCAGAACTATGTTTCAACCCAAAAGTGCGTGGTGCAGAACAGGAGTCTAGGAAGGAGGATGTGGGTCCAGAACATGGTCCAGGGTACAGGAAAAATATGGCAAGAGCCATTGTCTAATATAGCTGGTAGGATATAAAGAACAGAATCACATGGGTAGTGGGTCCTGGGTATGGAAAGAGGTGAGCACACACCAATGAGACCAGGATCCTGTAGGTCTCCAGCATCACTTTCAAGTATTAATTAGGTACCAGAATTCTCATCCCATTATCCCCTCTCCTACAGGGTGAATGTCAGTGCCACATGCAAACATCACTTCACGAGTCAAACTGAGGCATCAAATTCATCATAGTAAATGATCACTGCCTGACACCCAAAATGTGGGTGAAGGTGCAGAGACCTAGCCCAAATTATCCAGGTCTTCTGAGGGTCAAACTCTGTGCTGGGGTCAACCTGGAGGCAGATAAATTGTAGCTCACTCTGTGACCGGTCCCGCAGGTCGAGCAACAAAGACTCTAGAGGGAGAGTGAGGATGAGGAGGGACAAGAGACACGAGAAATGGAGACAAGACAGGGTTCTGATCAAGTCTCGTTTATTCAGCAGGAGTTCACACAATATATAGGGCAAAAAGCAGGTGAAACAGTTAATGAGTATCCCACCTGAAGCAAATTCCAGTAAATACCCCAGGTGGAACAAATGATAATCAAAGAATGGCTAGCAGAGCAAATGATTATCTAGAGGAATGCAGAGATACTGTATGCAGAGAGACCCTGCCTTGGGGCAGGAGATGGCAGAGCAGATTGTAACAAAATGGATGCCATGCAAAAAGTCTCCCACAACTCTGAAAGAAGGTTGGCTGGAGAAAGTACTGGAGCTGACAGATGATGCTGTTCCAGCAAAGAATGAGGGGCAGAGGGTTCTTTGATATTTCAGGAAAAGAGAGAGAATCGTGATAATTGCACCCAAAACATCCTTTTCAGCTGTCTCCCTGGTCCTCACAGTGTACCTGCCCCAGGGAAGGCTTCACAAGCAGTGGCAGAGATTGTTTCTGGCTCTGGGGCTAGAATCATGGGTTAAAATGCAGCCTCTTCAATCTGATACTTGTCTGTTCAGCAGAATTGGAGAACCAACTTCAGTCTGTAATACTGGATTCTCCCAGCAATTTGATAGTAGTTTCCATTCCCTAGGTTGTTGAGAATTGAAAGAAAATGCTCAAAAACTAATGGTCTGGTTGGTGTGGTTTAGTGGTTGAACGTTGACCCATGCACCAGGAGGTCGCCAGTTCGATCTGGTCAAAGCACATGCCCGGGTTGTGGGCCAAATCCCCAGTGGGGGGCATGCAGGAGACATCCAATGGATGTTCTCTCATCAATGTTTCTTTCTCCCTTCCTCTCTTTCTAAAATCAATAAAGAGCCCTGACAGGTTTGACTCAGTGGTTAGAGAGTCAGCCCACGGACCAATAAGTCATGGATTCAATTCCTGTCAAGGGCACATACCTTGGTTGAGGTTCATCCCCTGCCAAGGTCGGAGTTATGCAGGAGGCAGAAGGTGGAGATCTCTCTCTCTCTCCCTCCCTCCCTTCCTCCTACTCTATCTGAAGATAAATAGAAAAATATTCTTGGGTGACGATTAATAAATCAATAAAGAAAAAAATTAAAAGGAAAAAAGCTAACCGCGGAATTCTGGCAATGATAAGTACAGTATTCAGTTTGTTACTTTTGCTGATCTTGAAAGGTTAAGGTTAGCGCCCTCATCATCTGCATGTCACATTGTCGAGATGCAGGGAGCTCTAGTCACCTGGAAATTCTCAGGAGACCATACATTGAGACTTCAGTGCCCACAACTTTCTGCAGGTGGGTCACAGGGGTCAGAAAACACCAAAACGAAAAAGTGCTTGTAGGCACTGGGGGCGTGAGAAGGGCCTGGCCTGGGAATGTCTCTGCAGACAGAGGCTGCAGTTGCTCCAGCCAACACAGGCTGCAGACACAGCTGCCTTACTGCGAATAGACACCTTACCTCCTGACCTCCTCCAACAACTCAGGGATAGAGACATGTCTTATCCTTGTTTTATACAAGAGAAAGCTGAAGCCCAGACCAGAGAAAGGGGTTATTTCATTTTTTTTTTTTAAATCCTCACCTGCGGACATTTTCCCATTTTTTATTCAGATAGAGTGGGAGGGAGAGAGGAAGAGAAAGAGAAATATCGATGTGAAAGGGATACATCGAGTGGCTGCCACCCCCTTGACCCAACCATGGCCGGGGACAAACTGCAACCGAGGTACATGCCCTTAGTGGGAACCGAACCCGGGTCTATCTGGACCACAGGCTGACGCTCTAACCATTGAGCAAAACCGTCCAGGGCGTTATTTCATTTTTAAGTCACAATGCTATCCTAGAATCTGAAATTCAAATGCAGGGTGTGTGATTCTGGGCTTGGGGTGAATTATCACTGCCATCCTATTTCTCTTTGCACTGGCTTTGGGACCCCAAAACACTCCACTAATCCTGATGCCATCTGCTCTCCTTGAGACTAATTCCAACGCAAGAACCCCGTAATAGGAGACCATAAAAATTAGAGAACACTACAATGCAACAGCATAGTGTATTATGGAATGACTGGACCGCTCTAAGTGAAGAAGAATAACAGTATGGGTTAAAAGTAAAAGTGCCCATTATATCATGCATAGTATTAAAAATTATAAAAAAACACTTTATTATTGTTTTAATCCTCACCCAAGGATATTTTTCCATTAATTTTTTTCAGCTAGAGTGGGAAAGAGAGAGAGAGAAACATCGCTGTGAGAGAGACACATCCATTGGTTGTCTCCCGCAGGACACCCAACTGGGGCGGGGATCAAACCTGTAGCCGAGTTACACACCCTTGACTCTTTGGTCTACAGGCCGACACTCTAACCACTGAGTAAAACTGGCCGGGGTAAAATTGTAAAAAAATTAGAACATATTTTTTCAATATAAAAAAACCTTTATTTGACAAAGTAAAAAAGGCACAAAAATGAATGAAATTCCAACCTGCATGTTTGCTCTTTCAATGTCCTTTTGTTAAATTGCCAAAACTCATAGAAGTCTAGTCAAAACACATGATCAGACATTTTACTAAAGATACAGAGATAGGACATAGGCATCTCAGAAAAGTCTCAGCATAAATCCTTACAAAAATACAATCACACAATAGTGAGGTAGCACAACAAAGCTATAAAAAATGTTTAAATAAAGGACGATGGAGCAACTCAAATACTCTCTAGAATGTGTAGGACTTAAACCCCTTATAAGATGCTGGAAGAATGTAAAACAGATTAACTTACAGAAATTAGCACATAGTGATCTAAACATTCACCTACCAATGAGTCAGACTACGCACCGAGTTATTAAAAAAGGTAAATTAAATTTATGTCCATGTAAAGAATTATACATAAATGTTCGTTCCAGCTTTATTTTAAATAGTAAAAAATAAGAAATGACCAAATTGAATAAACTAATGGAGATATATTCAAAGATAAGAATATTTCTCATTTCCCACATTCACTGCACTCACAAGGCCTTTCTAGTTTCAATTCTCAGATGATTACGAAAAGCTTGGACTCCAGTAAAAAATTTGCCACATTATTGTTTAAGGCCTTTTTCTAGTGTGAAATTTCTGATGATAGCGAAGGGCACTGCTAGTCGTAAAATATTTTCCACATTCTTGACACTCATAAGGACTTTCTTCAGTGTGAACTATCTGATGACAATGAAGGGAATGGATTCTGGTGAAAGATTTCCCGCATTCACTGTACTCATAAGGCCTTTCTCCAGAGTTAACACCCTGATGAGAATAAAGATGATGAATTCTGGTAAAAGCTTTTCTACATTCACTGCATTCGTAAGGCTCTTCTCCAGTATATTCCCTCTGGTGATTACCAAAAGCCTGGATTCCAGTAAAACATTTCCTACATTTATTGTACTCATACGGCCCTTTTCTAGTGTGAAATTTCTGATGATAGCGAAGGGCACTGCTAGTTGTAAAAGACTTTCCACATTCTTGACACTCATAAGGCCTTTCCCCAGTATGAACTATCTGATGACAATGAAGGGAATGGATTCTGGTGAAAGATTTCCCGCATTCACTGCGCTTATAAGGCCTTTCTCCAGAGTAAACGCTGTGATGAGAATGAGGGTGATCAATTCTGGTAAACGCTTTCCCACATTCACTGCACTTATCAGGTCTTTCTCCAGTGTGAACTCTCTGATTATAACGAAAAGTGGAAACTTTGGTAAAATATTTTCCACATTCACGGCACACAAAACACTGTCTTCCAGTATGAACACCCTTGCCCTGAACAAACATGTGTTTATAGCCAATGGCCTTATATTCTTTCTGGATGTTATTATTATTTCTCCTTTGAAAAGTCACCCCAGACATCAGTATTTCATTTGGCCCGTAGCTTGTGTGAGTAGCCTGTTGCTGAGGATGTCCTAACCAGGTAAACATGTCCTGCCCAACCTCCCTACAGGTAAAAAGTTTCCTGGACACATTGAAATTACAGCCCTTCACAAGTGAGATCCTATCTATACTTCTAAGGAAAGGCTTCTCTCTCATATGATGCTCCTGGTGCTGGTAAAATGTAGCACAGAAAGGAAACTGTTTTGCACATGCCCCACACCTCAACAGTATCTGCTTTGGTTGTGTTTTCTGCTGCCCAATCAACTGGAAAATCTCTTTCAAGACTGGCCCACAACGCCCACAGGGGTGGCTCTTCTGGGAAGACAAAGACACAGTGGGATTGTTTGCCTCTGTCAATCTTACAGACGTGTTCTGTTCAGTTGGTGCCTCCACATCCTCTGCTCCACAGCAACAACCTGAATAAAAGGAAAGCCTGGTGAAGTACATGATGACCTTATAGGGAAGGGGTAATTTCATCACAACTGTCCATCAGTCACAGCTAGACATGATCCTATAGCATGATTTTCAAGACAAATGACTTAGACTCTGAGGAAATGTCTGGTATACATCACTTGACCCCAAAGACCAGACAATGGTGGAGACCTCACCAGCAGAGCGACAGATCACAGGATAAGACACAAAAGAACTCTCAAGAGGCAGGGTTCACTAGTAGTTCTTCCACAAATGGCTTCCTGTATGACCTTTTGCATTGGTGACATGAGTCTTTGTAGAATAATTTTAATGTGCTCAAACCCATAAGAATCCACTGAATTAGAGAACAGGATGTGTGTGGTCAGTACAATAATATGTGCATACTATAAGGCTTTATAGGCATGGGCCACGGTTTCAGTGCAGTAAAGAGAAAACTGTGAGAGAAATGGTTGAGATGCAAAGTTTAGGGAGGTTAAGATTATCCATGGACCGTAAAAATGATAAATATAACTGAGTAGTTAGTAAAGTGTCAACAATGAGCAAGAACAAGTAGAATGGGGCGAAGTACAGGCAATTGTCACAAAATACTGTTGAATAAATGGGTTCCTAGTCATGACATTAACAAAGATATGGCTTCAAATACTTTCCCATAGCCATTCACCATGAAAAGACCGACTCTGGGTCCACCCTGCCACGGATGGAGTCATGTTTCTTCTGTGATGCATAAATGATGCTTCCCCTTAAATCCCAGTTGAGCCCTTACATGGGATAGAGATGATAACAATCCTAAAAAAAAGTTGAAAAACAGCCCTGTCCAGTGTCGCTCAGAGGCCTACAGACCAAGTAAATGGTCTCGGGTTAGATTATTGTTCAAGGGTATGTACCTGGGTTGCAGGTTTGATCCTCAGTCATGGTTGTGGCGCATGCAGGAGACAACCAATCGATGTGTCTCTCTCACATTGGTTTCACTCTCTCCCGTTCCCTCTCAATCTTCAATTCTCTAAAAATCAATGGAAAAAATATCTTTGGGTGAGGATTTAAAAAATCGCAGAGCAAAAGTGAACAGTTGCATAGAAAGGATGACTTGGACGAGTGAGGTATGAAACATATTTTAAGATGGTTAGGGTCAAAAACAAGAGTCAGAATAACTGCTATCAGACACTGTGCTTGCACTAACATTGAAGAGGCAAAGTGAATAAAATACAATCTACCAAGGCTGATGTAAAAAAATATAGTAAATGCAAATCAAAGAGGATATTTTACAGTGACAAATGGCTACGTTAAAAAAAAGATATCAGCCCTGGCCAGTGTGGCTCAGCGGTTGGAGCGTCGGCCTGCGGTGCAGAGAGACCCGGGTTCGGTTCCCGTTAAGGGCATGTGCCTCGGTTGCAGTCTGTCCCCGGCCCATAGATGTTTCTCTCTCTCTTCCTCTCTCTCCCTCCCACTCTATCTGAACAAAAAAATGGAAAAATGTCCTCGGGTGAGGATAAAAATAAATAAATAAATGTTAAAAAAATTAAAAAAAAAAAAAAAAGTTATCAGCCCGGCTAGTGTGGCTCAGTGGTTGAGCATTGATCCATGCACCAAGAGGATGCTGATTCAATTCCTGGTCAGGGCACAAGCTTAAGTTGTGGGCCTGATCTCCAGTGGGGGGCATGCAGGAGGCAGCCAATCAATGTTTCCATCTCTCTCTCCTTTTCCCTTCCTCTCTAAAAAAAAAGATATCATATAAACAATCTAAACTTGCACCTCAAATAAGAAACAAAACAAGAAAGGAAATCCAAAACTAGCAAAACCCCCTCCCCCCACAAACTCCAACAATAAATTTTAGAAAAAACAAATAAAATAGAGAAAAAACAAAAGGATACCATAAATAGAAGTTGTTTTTTTATCCTCATCCGAGGACACTTTTGCAGTTATCTTCAGATAGAGCAAGAGGGAGAGAGGAAGAGAGAGAGAGAAACATCGACGTGAGAGAGATGCATTGACTGACTGCCAGCTACACAACAAGAGAGAAATCGTTTGTATGCAGTAAATGTGGAAAAGTGTTTCTCGTGAAGAGCAAGCCGGTTTTGTTTTATTTATTTAATTATTTTTTATCCTCACCCAAGGACATTTTTTCGATATTTTGTTTAGATAGAGTAGGAGAGTGAGAGAAACACTGACGTGAAAGGGACATATCGAGTGGTTGCCACCCACAAGACCCAACAAGGGCCGCGGGCAAACTGCAACCCAGGTACCTGCCCTTAGTGGGAACTGAACCTGAGTCTCTCTGGTTGGTGGGCCGGCACTCTCACCACGGTGCCAAACCGGCCAGGCCAATAGAAGCTATTTTTTAAAAAGATACACAAAATTGGCAAACCTTTAGCTAGACTAAAAGAAACAAGACACAAATAAAAATGTTTTTTCTTTACTGATTTTTTAGAAAGAAAAGAAGGGAGAGTTAGAAACATTGATGAGAGAGAACATCGACTGGTTGACTCCTGCATGCCCCCAACTGGGGATTTGACCCACAACCTGGGCATGTGCCCTGACTGGCAATCAAACTGGTGACTTCTTGGTGCACGGGTCTAACTCAACCATTGAGCCACATGGGCTGGGCTCAAATAAATTTAAAAAGAAACAAAAGATATTACACTTTAGACCTAGCCAGTGTGGCTCAGTTGGTTGGGCTTCATCCCGTGCACCAAAAGGTTGCTGATTTGATTCCCAGTCAGGGCACACGCCTGGATTTCAGGTTCTATCCCTGGTAGTGGTGTGCAGAAGGCAGCTGATTGATTTTTAATCCTCACATAACTGCTTCTCTCTCTCCTTGTCCCTTCCTCTCTCTCTAAAAATCTATTTAAAAATGTGTAAAAAAAAAAAAAAAGTATCATTCAAATTAGCTAGAAATTTAAGAAAGAAAGAAAGAAAAAAATATATTAAACCTCACACTATGAACCAAAATACATCACAAGAGATGTTGGCAGATGATGTGACCTTACAGAGAGAAAGTTGTCAAGATCACACTAAAAACTTTTGAGATTAATGAACAAATTCAGAGTCCTGGCCAGGTGGCTCAGTTAATAAGTGTGGTCCTGATGCGCCAAGGATGAGTTTGAACTTCCATCAGGGCACATGGAGAGAAGTGGGCAGGCAATGAATGCACAGATTGGGTGGAATGACAGATCAATGTTTCCCTCTCTACTTCTGTCCATCTGTCTCACTTCCTCTCTAAAATCAATAAATAGGACTTCCAGTCAAGATGGTGACGTAGGTAAATTTGATATCACCTCCTTCCACAGACGCATCAAAATTACAACTAGAGAACAATTGTCATTAAAAATTGCTTGAAATCAAGCTAAATGGAAGTCCCACAACTAAGAAATTAAAGAAGCCACACTGAGCCCTGGCTGGTTTGGCTCAGTGGTTAGAGCATTGGCCCGTGGTCCAGAGAGACCTGGGTTAGGTTCCTGCTAAGGGCATGTACATCAGTTGCACTTTTTCCCTAGCCCTGGTTGGGGTCGTGCAGGTGGCAACCAGTTTATGTGTCTCTCTTACTTTGATACCCCCCCCATTCCACTCTATCTGAAGATAAATGAAAAAAAAAAAAATAATAATCCTCGTGTGAGGATAAAAGAAAAAGAAACATAGAAGAAAAGACAAACAAGTGGAAAGACATTCTGTGCTTTTGGATTTGAAATGTTAATATTGTTAAAATGTGTATACTACCGCAAAGTAATTTTCAGATAAAATGCAATCCTCACAATAATTCCAATGGTATTTTACAAAGAAATAAAAAGAGAATCCTCAAATGTATAGAACCAAAAGACCTTGAGCAGCAAAAGCAGTCGTGAGAACAAACCTGGCATTACTATTTTAGTTTATCACTCTTCCTGACTTTATTATAAAGCCAAAGCAACGAAACAGTGTGTTAATGAAATAAAAACATACTACATAGACCAATAGAACAGAATAGAAACACAGAAATAAATCCAGACACATACATTCAAGTAATCTTAATAAAACTGAAATAAAAAAGGAACAATAGTTTCTTAAATGAATAGTTGTGGGAAAAATGGATATTCACATTTAAAACACCAAATTCAGCACCACTGATAAAAATTAACCCAAACTGCACTGGCCGGTTTGGCTCAGCGGTTAGAACATCGGCCCACGGTACAGAGAGACCTGCGTTTGGTCCCCGCTAAGGGCATGAACCTCAGTTGCAGTTTGTCCCCAGCCCCAGCTAGGGTTATGTTGGTGGCAGCCAGTGGATGTGTCTCTCTCACATCGATGTTTCTCTGTCTCTCTCTTCCGCTCTCCCTCCTGCTCTAAAATAAAAAAGTCAAACTGCCAAGTCCATGTCACTACCAAGAGTTAGGGTCTTACCCAGTGAGGATATAAGTTCAAAGTTCTCCAGCATCACATTCAGGTACAGGCGTCTCTGATTCTCATCAAGGAGGCTCCATTCCTTCCTGGAGAAGTACAGGGCAATGTCCTCAAAGGTCACACCAACCTGTCAGATTTGAGACGATGAAAACCAGAGCAGTCTCTCTGACAAACAGCAATCCTACTCCTGACACATCTTCCCCAGCTCAACCTCCTCCAGGGCTCCCCAGTTTCGTGAGAACACGGGTTCCTCATGCTAGTGTTGGCTGCTCTCATCACAGTCCCATTAATCCCAGTTACCGCCCTCAGCAACAGCAGCTGGGTTGGGTGGATGGGGGCGGGGGAGGCGGACAACATACAAATGCCACCTAAACTCCGGGACATCCCTGCACAGCCCCGTCCTTCCTGCCCAGCAGGACCACTGCAGCCTCCCACATCACGCCTCCCAGACAAGCCAAACCTGGGCTCATGCTTCACCCTCACGTCCCCACACCAGGCCCCAGGACCCTCAGCTCACACTCCCTCTGGCTGTGCGCACCACTGTGTCAGGTCTACCTCCTCCCCGTCTTCAGACCCCAGGCTCCCTTCCTGCTCCATCCCACGGGGAGCCGGACCCAGCACGACCCCCGTCCTCTGATGGATCCCACAGCCCGGAGAGCCGGGATGAGGCTGTGCCGCCCGCCCTGCCTCTGATCCCTGCTTCAATACAGATCCGCACGGCAATTTCGGACACAAGGAGCCCGTCCCCTCCGCACTGTGCCTGCCGTGTCCTCAGAAGACAACACTCCGTGCCCTCGGCCTTCCCCACGGCCCTCCACCCGGGACTCAGCTGCAAGACGTGACGGGCGCCCGCACCCTGGACACTAGTGTTCGGTGTGACGAGGCGGTGAGGGCCTCGAAGACCTGCACTCACCTCCACCGGGTGTCTCAGCGCGGCAGCCGCCATCGGACTCAGTGGACAGAGCGAGGCTCCAGCGCGGGGAGAAGACGCTGCCGCGGGCAAGGCCGTCCCGGTCCCAGCGTGGCCGAGATTCACACCCGAGTGTGTGCTGCGCGGATCATGACTCTACCGCCTTCTCAGCCCCTCCATCTGCACAAAAAGCCAGCGATCTGGCTTCTCCCTCGAAGTTGCGGAAGGGATTCTGGGTGGAAACAAAATGCCTGCTGTGACGTCAAAAGTCCCGCCCCTGCAGATGTGGCCCAATGGAAACGCCTTTTCTGGCCCTTCATTGGCTAAGCTGGCGGTCTTGCACCACTGGCTTCTGGGTAATGCGGGTCCAGGAGTCCCAGACAGTGATGGGGTTTTCCCACATCCCTGAGGAGTCAAGGCCGAGATCCAGGCTGGAGGGGCTGGGTAATGGGTGTCCTCATGAGAGAGGGTTTGAAAACGGCTAGAGAACACCATCATCGCCCTGGCGGGTTGGGCTCGGCCGCTAGAGCATTGGCCCAGGGACCAATGAGTCTTAGTTTCATTCTGGTCAGGGCACGACCTAGGTTGCAGTTCCTACCTGGCCCTGGTTGGGTGGTGTGGGAAGCAACCAGTCGATGTGGCTCCATCCCATCAATGTTTCTCTCTCTCTCCCTCTCTCTCTATCTGATGATATATAGAAAAGTATCCTCAGGTGAAGAATAATAAATTAGTAAAAGAATAGTCCTTAAAAAAAGATTATCATCTGTCCTGGTCAATGGACCCGAGTACTGTTGATGAAAACATATTATCTGTAATCCTCATATAGCAGCCATAATAAAAGAAGCATACCACAAAGTCTGGAATATTTTATCACATAAATGACCTACTTACATCATCATATATGCACATTACAAATATAACACAACAATGTAGGACAAACATTTGAAGTAAAAAAATAACCAAAATGCATAATATAAACTTTAAAACGGAACTCTATTGTTACATTATAATTTGAACCTCAATTAAGATAAATAAATTTTGGCCAAAGTGAGAGAATTTGTGCATGGAAAGGGGCCACATATTAAACCTGAGAAGGTCCGGGGAGACCTGAGTGGTGGGTTTACAAATTCAGAGACCTAAAGTAACCACATAGGATAGTCTGAAATTAAATCTTTCTAACTAAAAGCTATTCACACAGAGTAGTCATGTCCTTGGGCAGTATTTTTCCCTAACAAAGGTCAATCATCACCTTAACTGAGACTGTCTCTAGTCTTTTTGCATTTTGGACAACATACCTGATAAACGTGCCTTGGGAATAACAACCTAATTTCCATTATTCAGGACCCCCTCAAAGCACAACCACCAAAATAGTGCCCCCCCTTCACTGTTATTGTTATCATGTTAATTGTTGACTGTTAACTATCCTTTACCCACCTATGTAAAAGAAGCCTGTCTATCATTTTATTTTTTTATCCAGTCCCAGGTGTCGCCACCTCTCTGCTTTCTCCAGCCTCCCTTATGTATCACCATTGGATTTCATGTAACTCACTTATGTCTTCTCTTTTTATTGTAATGTATAAAATAAGGGGCAAAACTGCCATCTTCCAGAGCATTTTATCATGCCATTAAGATTTTACTTTTGGGCAACTGTCATCAGTTTGGTGCAAATAAATTCATAAAATATTCTTACAGGTTTGGATGCTTGGTATATTGACAAACTGAATTCTGACAAAATTATTGCTATTTTTGTTCTTGTGAAAATGCTATTGTAATAATCGTAGTGAAAGAGAATTTGTCCTTTACAGACATATTTAAGATGTCAAGTGGGATGTTTTTAGACATTCTCAATGTGGTAAGATTACAAACATATTTATATTTAGAGTAAATGAAGTACATATTCATAATGAAAGTTAACCTATGTGTAGCTCAGAAACTTAAAAATCACATGAAACATTATAAATAACAAGAAATTATGGGGAGGCATATGAGCAATAAATATTAAAACTCAACAATAATTCTGTAAGAAGCTTGTCCTATTTAAAATTTCATAGTAAATATCACACTTAAACCAAAATTTAAGAAACATTAAACTTGCCCTGACCAGTTTGGCTCAGCAGTTAGAGCGTTGGCCTGTGGTCCAGAGAGACCCGGGTTCGGTTCCCACTAAGGGCACGTACCTCGGTTGCAGTTTGTCCCTGGCCCTGGTTGGTCGTGTGAGTGGCAGCCACTTGATGTGTCCCTTTCACATTGATGTCTCTCTCTCTCTCTCCCTCCCCCTCTACCTGAACAACAACAACAAAAAAAAAAATGGAAAAATGTCCTCGGGTGAGGATAAAAAAAGAAACATTAAACTTATGTAACAGAGGAGTTGGAAAAAAATGTATAAACTCACCAGAAATTATAGAAATCACTGATAAATGAAAATAATCTCCAGCACCCTGCAACTGACATAATGATCATAGGAGTGGCCTGACATCCCAGTCTAGCTCCTGGCTCAAGAAAATTGTACAAGCTTTTCCTTACCCATGGAACATCTTTCAGATGTAATTAAATCTCTTGCTCCTCTTCTTTAAATTTGTGTTCTTAAAATCCTCAGGATCCACATGCCTGCCACTTTTGTGTGCTGGTCAATTTATACAGCAGTGGGCAAAAGTAGGTTAACAGTTGTGAGTATATGAAACAAAAAATTTTATTCTTGTATTAGTTGAATAACAACTGTAAACCTACTTTTGCCCGCCCCTGTATTTCCACATGCTCAGTCACTGAACAATTTTAGTATAACATAAAGTATTTTCATTTTGAATTATTGGCTACTCCCTCAATGAAGCCTTTGAATAAGCCTGAATGCAAATATATTTCTTCATTCACTGTTTTATAACACACCTAGTTCGGCTTATGAGGGAGAAAATTAGTAAATGATTATTATAGTAATGAAACTTGATGCCATGGCTGTTTTTCCATTCTAAATTTTTCTGCTCACACCTTACTATAGCTTTCTCCCTAACTTATTCCTCAAGTTCTTATGACTGAAAAAGACTTGCACTTTGTGGAAAGAACCGAACCCGGGACTCTCTGGTCTGTGGGCTGATGCTCTAACCGCTGAGCAAAACTGGCCAGGGCTAGAAATTATTTTTTTGACATGACACCAACCACCAGGCAAAAAAGCAAAAATAAACAGTCTGGACTACAACAAATGAAAAAACTTCTTAACAGTACAACAGCAATTAAAATGAAATGAAAAGGCAATCTACAAGATGGGAAAAAATATTTGCCTATCATATAAAGATATCACTTTCAGATACTAGAGGTTTGGTTCAGATCACCATAATAAAGTGAATATTGTGATACAGAAAGTCACACAAATCATTCCCAATGAATAATAAAGATATGCTAATACTATACTGCAGGCTATTAATGACACAATAGCCCAGCCTGTGTAGCTCAGGGGATTGAGCCTTGCCATGAACTGAGAGGTCCTGTTGATTCCCAGTCAGGGAATGTGCCCAAGTTGTGGGCTAGATCCCCAGTAGCGGGCAAGCAGAGGCTGCCCATTGATGTTTCTCTCTCACATTGATGTTTCTATCTCTCCCTCCTTTCTTTTCTCTCTAAAAAAATGCATAAAAACATATTTAAAAACCCACAATAATAGCTTTGTCTAAAAAAAAAACCTCTACCCACCTCAGTTAAAAATACTTTATTGTGCCGTGGCTGGTTTTGCTCAGCGATTGGAGCATCACCCTGAGGACCAAAGAGTGGAGGGTTCGATTCCAGTCAAGGTCACATACCTTGGTTGCAGTTGGATCTCAGGACCTGGTAGGGGTCCTGTGGGAGGCAACCAGTCAATGTGTCTCTCTCACCTCGAAGTGTCTCTCTCTCTCTCCTCTCTCTCTCTCTCTCTCTCTCCCTGCCCTCCCATTCTATTTGAAAAGAAAAATTCTTTATTGATAAACACTGGTAAATCTGAGCCTGCTAAGGAAATAATGGCACTAGACTTGGTGAATGCAGGGTTGACAAAAAAACTGAGTATGTTATAAAACAAAAACAAAAACAAAAACCCATGCAATATCTGTGAAGGACAATTAAGCTAACATGAAAAGACCTGTACTTGGCCCCGCCAGTGAGGCTTAGTCATTGAGTGTCGACCCCTGCACCAAGAGGTCCCAGTTCGATTCACAGTCAGGGCACGTGTAGCAAATATGTGAAAATAACTTATAAAATATATAAGGTATTCAAAAGACTCATTAGTTTAAAATTACACTTAATAAACGTGCTAAAAATGTAGAGTCAATTTTCCAAAAAGCATGTACAAATGACCAACAGGTATATAAAAAATGCTTTCCCTCACCGATTAAGGTGGAATCCATGCCACTCCTTGCAATGCTATAAACTACAAATCCTTCCCTATGAGATCATTGCAGCAGGTATTGGGCCTGCAGGGAGAGAAGCCAGCAGTGCAAACAAACAAGCCCTATAAAGGACAGCAATGACCCAGGAAACTGGGAAATCAAGGGGTGCCACAGTCCACATGTGAGGACAGAGTACATCCTGGGAAAGGCGGTGGGAAGAAATGTAAAGTCAATCCAGATCGCTGGGGATAGTGAGGGTCTTACCCATCGAAGATTTACCTTCAAAGTTCTCCAGCAACACATTCAGGTACAGGTGTCTCTGACTCTCATCAAGGAGGCTCCATTCCTTCCTGGAGAAGTACAGGGCAATGTCCTCAAAAGTCACACCAACCTGTCACATTTAAGACAATAGAAATCAGAGCAGTCTCTCTGACAAACAGCAATCCTACTCCTGACACTCTTCCCCGCCCTCAACCTCCTCCAGGGCTCCCCAGTTTAGTGAGAACACGTGGTCCTCATGCAAGTGTTGGCTGCTCTCATCACAGTCCCATTAATCCCAGTTACCGCCCTCAGCAACAGCAGCTGGGTAGGGTGGGTGGGGGCGGGGGAGGCGGACAACATACAAATGCCCCCTAAGCTCCGGGACATCCCTGCACAGCCCCGTCCTTCCTGCCCAGCAGGATCACTGCAGCCTCCCACATCACGCCTCCCAGACAAGCGAAACCTGGGCTTATGCTTCACCCTCACGTCCCCACACCAGGCCCCAGGACCCTCAGCTCACACTCCCTCTGGCTGTGCGCACCACGGTGTCAGGTCTACCTCCTCCCCGTCTTCAGACCCCGGCTCCCTTCCTGCTCCATCCCACGGGGAGCCGGACCCAGCACGACCCCCGTCCTCTGAGGGACCCCACAGCCCGGAGAGCCGGGATGCGGCTGTGCCGCCCGCCCTGCCTCTGATCCCTGCTCCAATACAGATCCGCACGGCAATTTCGGACACAAGGAGCCCGTCCCCTCCGCACTGTGCCTGCCGTGTCCTCAGAAGACAACACTGTGCCCTCGGCCTTCCCCACGGCCCTCCACCCGGGACTCCGCTGCGGGACGTGACGGGCCCCGCACCCGGGCTGTGCGGTTCAGGCCGGAGGCTGCGGACGCGCACTCACCTCAGCCGGGAGCCTCGGCGGGGCCGCCGCCATCGGACCCTGCGGGCGGAGCGGGGCGGGGCTGCGGTCCAGGACGGTCCCGGGCAGGGCCCACTTCGTGCGGGTCTGGAGCAGGTCACCCGGGCGGCGTCTTCCAGACTCAGACCATTGGCTGTGTGGCGGGGAACACCGCTCTGTCCTTCCGAAGCTCAGGACCGCCCGCTACAAAACCGAGAGGAAACCCCGGCCAGGAGCCCCACCGAAGTCCCGCCCCACCGAGGTGTCCAAACGGAAAGGCCTTTCCTGAGCTTTCATTGGCTCAGCCAGGTGGCATTACACGCCGGGCCTTCTGGGTAATGTAGTTCCTGCAGCCCAAGGCTGGATTCCTCAGCTGAAGCCAGGAGTGGACCTGGGGGCGTATAACCCAAGAATACTCCAAGTGTACTAAGCCCTCTAGTGCCTTCAGCGGAGGTCATTTCATGGGCTAGGCTGTGTGGCTTCCTTTCGCCTCCAGTTTTGCATGTACGTCTCCAGGTTGTGCTCTTCTCGAACCACAGGCATTGTTTCTTCATTCTTCATTCAGGCCACCTGGCATCTGGCTCCTTCAGGCCGAATGTAGTTGGGGGAGGTTGCTCAAGTCTCTAAAGCGATCTAGCCTGCCTCAGTTGGATCCACTCTGAAAAGTTAATGTCACAAAACACACTAATACTTAAGAGCGTCTGCTTGTGACGCAATCAGCTCTGCCAGCTCAGCAGACTTGTTAGAGCCAATCAGGATGCCTCTGCTTCCAATTATACATTCATTGCAAACAATGGGGAACACGTTGAGGACATAAAAGACACACCATTACAGGCATTCCATCAGACAAAGTGGGTTCAGTGCCAGACCATCCAAGCGAATATGTCAATAAATAGTCACAAGAATTTTTTTGGCTTCCTAGTACATACAAAATTTATGTGTACTCTGTCTGACTGATGTGGCTCAGCGTTTGAGCGTCAACCCATGCACCAAGAGGTCACTGGTTGGATTCCCAGTCAGGACACATGCCCAGGTTATGGGCCCAATCTCCAATGTGGGACGTGCAGGGGGTGGCCAATTGATGTTCTCGCTCATCGATGTTTCTATGTCTCTCTCCCTCTCACTTCCTCTCTCTCAAAATCAAAAAAGAAAAAAAAATTTTTTTAAATTTATGTGTACTCTATAGATTACTGTAGAATTAAGTGTGCCAAAATTACACCAAAATATAATGTACATACCCTAATTGTAAAATACTCTTTTTTGTTGTTAATCCTCACTTGAGAGTACTTTTTCCATTGGTTGCCTCCTGCATGCACACCACCAGGGATGGGACCAAAACCTGAGTATGTGCCCTGAGGGAATCAAACATCTGACCCTTAGGTGCACAGGCTAGAGGCTCTCACCACTGACATACACTGGTCAGGGAATCCCTCTCTAATAATAATAATAATAATAATAATAATAATAAATCAATAAGCTATTTAAAAAAGAAAGAGAAAAGATAGTGAAGAGAGGAGCTCTGGCCAGTATGGCTTACTAGTGAGAGCATCCTCCTATGCACCTAAGGGTCAAGTATTTGATTTGTGGTCAGAGTAAATACCCCGGTTTCTGTTCCATCCCTGGTGGGGCGCATTTAAGATGCAACCAATAGATGTTACCCTTTCACATTGATGTTTCTCTCTCTCTGTCTCCTTCCCTCCCTCACCCTTTCTTTCTCTCCAGAATCCAAAAAAAAAAAAAGTATCCTCATGTGAGGAGTGTAAAAATAACTAAATATAGCCCTGGCTGGTTTGGCTAAGTGGTTAGAGCGTCAGCCTGAGGTCCAGAGAGACCTTGGTTTGGTTCCCGGTAAAAGTGCGTACCTCGGTTGCACTTTGTACCCAGCCCTGGTTGGTTGTGTGGGTGGCAGCCACTCAATGTGTCCCTTTCACATGGATGTTTCTCTCTTTCTCTCCCTCCCACTCGACCTGAACAAAAAACGGAAAAAGAAAAATGTCCTCGGGTGAGGATAAAAAAAAAAAAACTAAATACAATAAAAAACATTGTTGTTAAAAATTTCAAACCATCGTCCTGGCCAGTTTGGCTCAGTGGTTAAAGTGCTGGCCTGCAGACCTGAGAGTCCTGGGTTTGGTTCCTGCTAGGGACACATACCCCGCAAGAAAAAAAATAAATTCAAACCATCATCTGAGCCTTCATTGAGTTCCAATCTTTTTGCAGGTGAAGGGCCTTGCCTTTATAATGATGAAAACCCATGATCGGTGAAGCTCAATAAAGCACATCATAAAACTGAGTTATGCTTGACTGGAGAATTTGGGATGTTTTAGTAGACAAATAACCTCATTACACCATCATATTTATGATAAATATAACACAAAACTGTAGGAAAAAGTTCAAATGAAAAAATAAGATGCATAATATAAACATAAATGATAATTCAAATATCAATTAAGAGAAAAGAATTTTTGCCTACCTGGTGTGGCTCAGTGGTTGAGCGACGACCCATGTACCAAGAGGTGGCCAGTTAGATTTCTGGTCAGGGCACATGCCAGGATGTGGGCCAAATCTGCAATGGGGGACACACAGGAGGTGCCCAATTGATGTTCTTTCTCATTGATGTTTCCATCTCTCCCTCTCCCTTCCTCTCTCTAAAATCAGTAACAAAAAAATATTTTTTTAAAGAAAAATGAATTTTGGTAAAAGTGGGAGAATTTAATTGTAACAGTTATTGGTGTTTTTCTTAAATACAAACGGCTATTGTGATTATAATGAGAAAAGAGAATTTGTGAGATTTAGACACTGAAAGTTTTATAGGTGAGATAATGATATGTATGGTATCATCAATGGAATTAGATTAGGAACATGTAAATGAATTACATTTATAGTAAATGAAGTACATATTCACGCTGACAATTTACCTATGTTTATAGTTCAGAATTTTTTGCACGACATGCAATGTTATATTTAAAAAATGAATTATGGGTATGCATACATGTAATAAAAAAACTTTTAATGGTCATAAAAACCATTCTCTTATTTCTTCTACTATTTCTCAAAATGTAGACAGTGTTCAGATGGCATTCTCAGACTTTTGCAAAGAAGTGACAAATGGAATCTGCAGTATATTACTAACATGTCTTTTATTAAGGTTGGTGTTAAACAACATAAAAAAAGTGCCAATAAAGGAATGTAAAATGCAAATAGCAAGATAATCAGTCATGTAAAGAATCTGAGCCCAGCTGGTGTGCCTCAGGGGAGAGCTTTGTCCCATGGACTGAGAAGTCCCTGTTCAATTCCCAGTCAGGGACGTGCTAGGGTTGCCAGCTCCAGCCACAGTGCGGGGCGTGCAGGAGGCAGCTGATTAATGTTTCTCTCTCTCTTCTTCTCTCTAAAATCAACAAAGAAAATATTTTTAAAGTGGCCATTACAGACCTGGACAGTTTGACGCAGCAGTTAGAGCGTCGGCCCATGGAGCAATGAGTTGCGAGTTCAACTCTAGTCAAGGGCACGTACCTTGATTGTGATTCGTCCCCAGCCTTGGTTGATGCGGGAAGCAACCAGTCATTGTGGCTCCATCACATTCATATTTCTGTCTCTGTCTCTCTCCCTATCTCCCACTCTGATGAGAAATAGAAAAATATCCTAGGGTAAGGAATAAAAAAAAAGTGTCCATAACAGCCCACTCATGTTGGCTCAGTGGTTGAGTGCTGCCCCATACACTAAAAGGTTGCTCGTTCGAATCCGGGTTGGGGCACATGCTCAGGTTATAGGCCAGATCCCCATTGGGAGGGTCTGTAAGAAGCAGCCAATGGATGTTCTCTCACATCAATATTTCTTTTTTTTTCTCCTTTATCTTCAGATAGAGCGGGAAGGAGAGAGGAAGAGAGAGAGAAACATCAATGTGAGAGACATATGGAGTCTTTGCCACCCACACCTCAGTGGGGCCGGGGACAAACTGTAACCGAACCCGGGACTCTCTGGTCTGCGGACCTACGCTCTTACTGCTGAGCCAAACTGGCCAGGGCTCACATCAACGTTCCTATCTCTCTCATCTTCTCCCTTCCTGTTTCTCTCAAATTAATAAAGAAAAAAAAAGTGCCCATTATACTGTGTATGGCTTAAAAAATTAAAACTATTAGAACTTATTATAACAATATAAAGAACATTTATTCCATAAAGTGTCACACAAGATGTGAAATACAAAGAAAATTGACCACATTCATAACCTAGGGCAGAAAATGGTCTGACATTTCAGCAAAATACAGTGATGGCAAATACCCATCTAAACAAATGCTAATCATGAAGGATACGGATGAACAGCCAAATAAAGATACACTGTGCCAGGTCCGGGAGGGTTCCATGCACAGGAGCTTCTGTCTCCAAAAAGTTAGGTTGCAGCGCATTATTCATACCTGCATGTGTTCATACACCTGCAGGCTCATCAAACCTTTCATATTGGAATGCTTACAGAGGCTTGCTGAAGATGGCTTGATTGATCATTAACTATTTCCAGACCCTTGACCTCTCTGGATGTGTGAAGTTGAAAATTCCAACTGTGGTCCCCTCAGTACAACAAAAGATGCTTTGAGTGCTTTTATTACTAAGGAATTTCCCAGAAGCAGAACCCAGTATGTATGCATTTTCTATATCTCACAAAATCATGTAGCCAATATCAATAAAATATATGCTACATGACTCCATTTTTTAATATTGTCTAAAAAACAACAAATAAGATAAAAGGAGAACAGTGGTGCCCAAGATGAAGGTCAGGAAAAGGATGTGACTATGAAGGGCTAGCAGGAGGGAGTTTGTGACAAGAAAACCCTGCATTTCTATAGTGGTCTTGGTTACAAGAACCTACATATGTGATACACTTATTTTGATGTTAACTTTTCAACTATTATTTTTTATGCAATCATCCACGGTAAAATTCTCCTTGAAATGAACAGGCTAATTGTGCAGCTGTAGGAAAAAGTCCATGCAGTTAACCTCCACTTGCTCATCCTCAGAGACAGCATCTTATAGTTCAGTCTGCTCGAGGTCCCACATGAGGTGCTGTGACTTGTCTTCCTGTACTAAAGCAATAGGGGCTACGCCA